GCTATTACAAAACAGCCCGAAATGATCCGAAACCACCCAAAACACACCCGAGGCCCCAGGGACCCCATCCAATCACACCAACCAGTCCCATAACATAACACGGACCTGCTTGAAGCCTCAAATCACATCAAACAACACTAAAACCATGAATCGCACTCCAATCCAAGCTTAGTGAACTTTAGAATTTCAAGCTTCTATATTCGATGCCGAAACCTATCAAATCACATCCGATTGACCTCAAATTTTGCACACAAGTCATATTCGACATTACGGACCTACTCCAACTTCCGAAATCAAAATCCGACCCCGATATCAAAAAGTCCACTTCCGGTCAAACTCCTCAATAACCTTCAAATTTCTATATTTAGCCAAATAACTCCAAAATGACCCACGGGCCTCCGAATTCACTTCCGATCGCGCTCCCAACACCAGAATCACCATACGGAGCTATTCCCAGACTCAAAATCCCAAAAGGACATTGATAACACTGAAATGCACTTCAACCCAAACTTATGAAATTCTTCCAAAAATGCTAACTTCCACAATATGTGCTGAAATATTCCCGGGTGTTCCAAAACCCGATCCGGACATACGCCCAAGTCCGAAATTATCATACGAACCTGCTGGAACCTTCGAATCCTGATTCCGAGGTCGTTTACTCAAAAATCCAATCTTAGTCAATTCTTTCAACTTAAAGCTTCCGAAATGAGAATTCTCTTTCCAAATCAACTCCGAACTTCCCGAAATTCAATTCCGACCATGCGTACAAGTCATAATACCTGAAGTGGAGCTGCTCATGGCCTTAAAATGTTGCACGACGCGCTAGAGCTCAAAACGACCGGTCGGATCGTTACAACATGAAACTTTGTATAACTATCAAAAAAATGTAATAGAGTGAAGTATAATCATGCTTTATGTTTTGACTTGTACAAATAGTATATATCATGATCTCGATTTTTGATCAAGCAATTCAAGTTCATCAAAAGCTGACTTCATTTGCTTGAGTTAGGAGCAAAGGAATCCAATTTTTTCCCTTAAGATATCTTATATATTACTCCACTAACTACAAATAAAATGAAAAATGCAGAGCATAAGAGTCAAACTCTTATGAGGTTTCTCATTAAGCATATCAATTTATTACTATTTTTAACGCAAAAAAGATAATTTCAGTAGATAAAGAAGCATCAAAATAAAACTTTTATAAAGTAAAATTTTAAAATAATAATAGTGGCTTATAAAAAGGGACGGAGGAGTAGAAAAGATTGATTGCATAGAAGCTAAGTTCTAGTTTTAGCCTCACGTTTCCTCCTTATTACCCCTTTTTTTTCCTGATTTGATCCTTGTTTCTCCCACTTTGAAAAAAAGAGTTGTGGTGTTTGATTATTGAGATTAGGATCTTAATTCATGTTTATAGGTAAAACAGTACAGCTAAATTTGATACGTGATTTATAGACAAACGAACTATTGATCCAAAAATGATAAAGAGATAAGATTGAAAAGGAGATTTAGCAATTGAAATTGAAGAAGATGACAAGCCTGGCTCCGAGCGCAATGCTGATAGTAGGCTAGAATCACGTGTTTTGGTCATAGTTTGCACTCTAATTACTGCATTTTACTTGTGTTTGAGCTTAAAGGATAGTGAATTGCACTTATTTTGTGTTTTATGCCTTGCAGAAAATGATTCCGAGCTATTAAGATAATTTGGAGCTAATTTGAACAAGTTAGAGCTTTGAAGTCTGAGCAAAAATCCAAGATATTAAGTTGGGATCATGTTCGGGGGTCGAAGACCAAGTCTGGATGTCAAAAAGTGAGAAAACAAAATTACTATGAGAAAATTGCACTACCGCCCTGCGCCATGTGTAGCGGGGCGCTACTGTAAAATTCCTGCAGAGTGAAAAAAATCAACTCTCTGAAAATCCTCACTAATGTGGCGCATGGGGCGCCACGCCAGTATATTTTCACGGTCCAATTGTCCCACTTCCGCTTGGAAGGGTAGTTTCATCCTGGCTCGTTCCTTCATGGTATAAATACAACAAAAAGACGATTTTTAGAGGACTTTTGACCTTGGGAGCTTTTGGAGAGCATTGGAGGCTAGAAGGCACAGGATTTCATCATATTTACATCAATTCACTACGGGAATTTGGATTGTAACGTTAAATTGAAGTTTTTTTTTCTTTAATTATATTTGTGATTACTTCCTCCATGATTATGGAGTAGTTTCCCTTAAGGTTTGATAGGTATGGTGTTTTGATAAATATTTGTGGATTTTAACTCTTGCTCTTACTTGAATTCGTTTATGGAGCTTTGAATTGTTGCAACTTTATTCACCGGTCTATTTAATCGAAAGAGGAATATTTTGTGATTATCTTTGCATTATTTTGTTTGAATTAATTCATTGATTCATTTAAGTAATCGAAAGAGCTTGTTGAATTCTTGATTAAATCAAGTTAGGAGAATATTCGAGAGACGTTTTTCTGAAGACTAATCCATTAACTCATGCTTGCATACTTCACACTGCTTATGTTAGTTCACCTTGTAGAGTTAAGATTTAATCGAGAGAGGAGTCTTGACTACACGTTTGAACTAATCATCGAGTGAATTCGTGAGAATCATTAGAACATTAGAGTGAATTAGACTAGAGTTGATTCCCAAATAGCTATCTTGCACCTATCCTGTCAAACCCATATTCCTCACATTGATAAAAAACCAACTCTGCTAATCTCTAGTTTTTTGCAGTCAATTGTCAATTGCTTTATTTTAGTAGTTAAACATAGTTCATAATCATTTAACTCAAGTGTTGATCCTCTTGAATAACAACTAAACCAGAAATTACTCGAACATTGAAATCTAATCCTTGTGGAGACGATAATTTACTATACTATATTTGGCTAGCGAGCATTAATTTCGTGTTGTGTTTTGCGCTCGTCAAATTTTGGCGTCGTTGCTGGGGATTGGCAATCAATAGTGTTCTAATTAGCTGATTTAGGATTTTTTTTAATTCTATTTTGTTTTATTCTTCACGGGTTTCCTCTTCCGTGTGCAGGAAACAGATTGACTTCTCTGGGGTATGACTCGACCTTCTTCAAATGAATTGATTCCATACAAACCAGAGGTGGAAAATAGTTTGCGACTGTTGAGTAAAGAGAAAGAACTGACCGGAAAAATTTTGGGGCAGTCTTCAAACCCATAACACATGGGTAAAAACGATAAGGACGAAGTAGATTTAGCTGCAAGAGAGGCAGCATAGAGAGACAAGAAGCTGCACGGGTAGTAGCTGAGGCAGCCCGTAGAGCTGCTGATAAGACCATCGACGATGATGGGGGTCAAAGGTTATATTTAAATCGAACCTTGGTTGAAGACCAGTTCGAGAATGTTGTACCCAGGCCTGATAGAGCATTGGGTGATTATGCCAAACCAGTCTACAATCAGGGACTTACCAGTGTCAGACCTCCACCAGTAGCAACAAATAATTTCGAGCTGAAGCAAGGCTTTCTTCAAACTATCCTGAACAATTGTGTCTTCAGAGGGAAGGTAATTGAAGATCCTAACACTCACTTGATAGATTTTGAGAAAATCATGAACACCTTCTAGTACAATGGAGTGTCAAAAGATACAGTATACTTAAGAACATTCCCTTTCTCACTAAAGTATGACGCGAAGCACTGGCTTCGTAGCTTACCAACGGGGTCGATCAGGACATGGGAAGATATGACTAGAAAGTTTCTTGACAAATACTTCTCAGCTACAAAAATAGTGAAATTCAGAAGGGAAATTCACAACTTCTGCCAGACGGACACTGGAATAGTTTTCGAGGCTTGAGAAAGATTCAAGGAGATAATGAGGAAGTGTCAACATAATAGGATTGAATTATGGATGGATCTCCAGAACTTTGGGGATGGACTGACACCTCTCTCACGACGAACTCTGAATACTACAGTTGGAGGTCCTTTAATGAAGAAGACTCCTGAAGAGATCGTAGCAATTCTTGATGAACTCTCTGAAGATGCTAACCAGTTGCATGTTGAGAGTAATGATAGAAAAAAGATCAGTTGGGGTTCATCAAGTAGACTCTAACACAGCAGTGCAAGCCCAACTAGACGCGATGGGCAAAGAGATAAGAAAGTTGACATTAGCCAAGGTACAAAGCCAACCATCACCAGTTTGTGATTTCTATGGAATGGGTCATCCAACGCATTAGTGTCAGGCTTTAGCTGCTGATGAAGTGGTAAATATTGTGGGAAGCTTTGACAGAGGCAACTACCAGAGTGGTAATAATTTTAACTCTATAGGACATAGGCACCCAGGCTTTTCTTGGAGTTCCCCAAGTGGTGGCCTGAACTCATGGCAGCAGAATAACTCCAGATCCCAAGAACAAGGAGCTCCAGGTTTTCAAAATCAACAAAGACAGCAATATCAGCCTCCACAGTCTAATTAGTCTAGCATGGAAAATCTCATGAATGCCTTTATTATTAGGACAAATGAGAGGCTTGAAACCCATAGCTCTGTTATACGAGAACATGGTGCAGTTATCAAAGATGACTTTTCGAAACCTGGAAAGACAGGTTGAGAAACTAGCTACTTTGTTGTTTGAGAGGGTTCTAGGAACGCTCCCTGTTGATACTGAAAGAAATCCAAAAGAGACAATAAATGTAGTTTCTTTGAGGAGTAGGTGCGAGTTGGAGTATCCCATAGCAAAGCAAGAGGATGAGCTGGTTGAAAGACGGGTAGAGATTGTGGAAGTGTAGAAGAATGATAACATTCAAAAAGGTGCAGGGATGTTAGGTGATGGTCTGAAGAAGAAGAAGGGGAAGACTAAATCTCAGAAAAAGAAGAAGGGTGACAATGCAACAAATAATGAGATTGAAGAGAGCAAATACATGCCTGCTCTACCTTTCCCCTAGAAGCAACAGAGAGAGAAGTTAGGCAAACAATTCGAGCGCTATCTAGAAGTGTTCAAGTAGGTGCATGTGAATATACCTTTCACAAAGGTGCTTTCACAGATGCCAGCTTATGCTAAATTCATGGAGGAGATATTGTTCAAGAAACAGAAAGCGGAAGAGAAATCGGTGGTGAAGCTCACAGAGCATTGTAGTGCCAACTTGCAGAATAAGCTCCCTAAAAAATATGGAGATCCAGGGAGTTTTACAATACCTTGCTCTTTCGAAAGTACTAAATTTAAAAAATATTTGTGTGATTCAGGTGCTTCCATTAATATTATGCCTTTGTCTATTTTTAGGAAATTAGAGGGAGATATTGGAGAGATCAGGTCGGTACCTGTGTCCTTGCAGCTGGCGGATCAGACCACAATCATACCGGAAGGAATAGTGGAGGATGTGCTAGTTCGGGTGGACAATTTTGTGATTCTGGTGGACTTCATTGTGGTGAATATGGAGGAGAATAGGGAGGTCCCGCTGATTTTAGGAAGACCCTTTTTGGCTACGGGCAGTGCAATTCTAGATATTCAGGAAAGACTGTTCATGCTCAGAGTGGGGCATGAAAGGCTGATCTTCAAAATGGAAGGAGAAAGGGGGGCCCTGAAAGAGCAAATCGGAAAGAGTGAAGCTGATAAGTGTGGGGTGTACCCAAATAAGGCAAAAAAGAAGCTCTCAGCGTGGATGTGTGCACTAGGTTGAGCGTGCAAAGGAGATCCCGACTTCGATTCAGCCCCCGACTAAATGAATCAGGGAAGTTTCTTTTGCCTCTAGCTTTTTATTTGTGTGCCATGGGGACATGCCACAATTTAAAGTGTGGGGTGGGGAATGTATATATGTATATGTGTGTTTGTAATCGTTTCTTTTGATTGATTTTTTTTTACTTTTCCCGACGATGGATTTCCTCAGCTGTCTTCTTGAGGGATTAAAGTTGAAGAAAAAAAATTTATTTTGTTCTTCTTAGGTAGTGTAATAATTCCCCCTTGATTTTTCTTTGTGTCGCGGTTCTTTTCTAAGTGTTTTCTTTAAACCGGGTGTAGTTAGTTTTTCTTTTAGTAGAAGTAATGAAGTCTTGTGCTAAGTGTTAAGGGGAGATGACTTTTCTTAACTTTTGTTGTGCCTTGAGAGCAGTGAGTGCCTTATTTGTGACGCCTAGTCTCAGTTCTTGACTCTTAAATAAGTACCTTAAATTGTGTGATTGTAACTTTGCTTAACTATTTGGACTAGAAAGTCGGGATAGATATGATCCTAAGTGAGCTATGTGTCAATGTGTGTGTGGGGTTTTTTGTTTATATTTTGTGCATATCGATTGATTTCTAGAACTTGCCTCTTGTGTTTGCAAAGCAAAATAGTAGTCTTGTTCAGTCTAGGAAGTGATATAGGCAGTTCTTTGGTGAGCCAAATTTATGTTTTACCCACCTAATTTTAAAGTATCTTAGTTAGACCCGTTGAGCCTGTATTCCTATTTCTTTGGCAACCGCATACAAGATTGACCCCTTTGTTTGAAGTGTCTATCTATTTGAACTTTTTACCTCTCGTGAGCACTTGAATTTGTATAAGATTGTAAAAACTAAGTGAGCTATGGTCGAGTTTTGTGTGGAACTATAGAAAAAGGAGATAGGTGCACTATTTGAAAATTTGTGAGAGCCCCTTGTAGAAAATTGAAAAAAGAGTTTGTTTGAAAAGGAAGAAAAAAAATCATAATGTAGAAAAGAAATAAAATGGATTCCATGCTAGTGGTAGTTCTCATCTGCTTTATGCTTAAGGATATTGTGAGCTTGATGCTATTATGTATGAAGGTTGGGGTTTGATTCAACGTAAGTGTGGGATTTGAATTGTTAATGTATATGTATTACAGTGCTTAGGGAGGTGGAGTCACTATATCCAGATCTATCCTTCCCATCCCGCAACCTACATTACAACCAAATTAAGTCCTATTTGATTTGTGACTGAATGGGCTCAATTAGCAGAGTATTACACCGCGGGCAAGGCTATGGTACGTCTTTTGTGGCATATGAATCTTAATTCTGAGAGTGAGTGAATTATTTCTATCTTGAGTTCCTAATTATTCTTAAAATTTATCTTATGTGGAACTACTCTCTATTGTTTGTATGAGGGCACGTGATTTGCGAAGGTAAGGTGAAATATTTGACCTCTGTGTTAGAGTAAGTGAACAGGTTGTGAAAAATGCATGGTGCTTTTGAATCAAGTTTTGAGGTTAGGATGTTATGATATGGTGCTTAGTCTACTTTAAATATTCTTTGCATGATGCGTTAGGGAAGTTGTCTGATAAGAAGGTCATCTCTATGTGAAGTGCAGTTTGATTGCTCGAGGACGAGCAATGGTTTAAGTGTGGGGTGTTGATGGTAGGCTAGAATCACGTGTTTTAGTCATAGTTTTCGCTCTAATTACTGCATTTTACTTGTATTAAAGTTTAATTGATAGTGAATTGCACTTATTATGTATTTTATGCCTTGCAGAAAATGATTCCGAGCTATTAAGATAATTTGGAGCTAATTTGAACAAGTTGGAGCTTTGAAGTCTGAGAAAAAACCCAAGATATTAAGTTGGGATCACGTTCGGGGGTTGAGGACCAAGTCTGGATGTCAAAAAGTGAGAAAACAAAATTACTCTGAGAAAATTGCACAACCGCCCCGCTCCATGTGTAGCGGGGCGCTAGTGTAAAATTCCTACAGAGTGAAAAAAATCAACTCTCTGAAAATCCTCACTGATGTGGCGCATGGGGCGCCACGCCAGTGTATTTTCGCGGTCCAGTTGTCCCACTTCGGCTTGAAAAGGGTAGTTTCATCTGGGCCCATTCCTACATGGTATAAATACACCAAAAACATGATTTTTAGAGGACTTTTGACTTTGGGATTGTAATGTTAGCTTGATGTTTTCTTGTTCTTTAATTATATTTGTGATGACTTCCTCCATGATTATGGAGTAGTTTCCCTTAAGGATTGACGGGTATGGTGTTTTGATAAATATTTGCTGATTTTTAACTCTTGTTCTTGCTTGAATTCGTTTAAGGAGCTTTGAATTGTTGCAACTTTATTCACAGGTCTATTTAATCGAAAGAGAAATATTTTGGTGATTATCTTTGCATTATTTTGTTTGATTTAATTCATTTATTTTTTTAAGTAATCAAAAGAACTTGTTGAATTGTTGTTTAAATCAAGTTAGGAGAATATTTGAGAGACGTTTTCCTGAAGACTAATCCATTAACGCATGCTTGCATACTTCACAGTGCTTATATTAGTTCACCTCGTAGAGTTAAGATTTAGTCGAGAGATGAGTCTTGACTACACGCTTGAACTAATCATCGAGTGAATTCGTGAGAATCATTTGAACATTAGAGTGAATTAGACTAGAGTTGAATCTCAAATAGCTATCTTGCACCTATCCTGTCAAACCCTTATTCCTTACATTGATAAGAAACCAACTCTGCTAATCTCTAGTTCTTTGCAGTCAATTGTCAATTGCTTTATTTTAGTAGTTAAACATAGTTCATAATCATTTAACACAAGTGTTGATCCTCCTGAATAGCAATTAAACCAGAAATTACTCGAACATTGACTAAATCCAATCCCTATGAAGACGATAATTTATCTATACTATCTTTGGCTAGGGAGCATTAATTTAGTGTTGTGTTTTGTGCTCGTCAAATGCCTATGAGGACAATAGTAAAAGCAATGATAAAGTGCAAATAAAGTTGTTTAATTGAGATCAAAACTAAATTATAGTTTATGTCTGCAGAAAATTTTGTCCTCTTATTGTCACGACCCAAACCGATGGGCCGCGACAAGTGCCTGAGTTCTTGTGATGACTCAAAAGGTCATCACTTGTTTTAAAATAAAATTCTACGTTCCGAGGCCTTAAAACCCTCTTTTTGCATCAGCTCGATTTGCGTGCGCAGTCCGGACGTGTAGCCGGAAAGCCTATATGTGAAAATCTGTGAAAAATGGTAAATTTTGACGATAAAATGAATTAATTTGACTTCGGACAACATTTTGGGTAAACGAACCCGAACCCGTGATTTGACGGTCCCGGAGGGTCCGTAGGAAAATATGGGACCTGGGCGTATGCCCGAAATTGAATTCCGAGGTCCCAAGCCCGAGAAATGAATCTTTGAAGAAAATTGTTTTCTGAAATTGTTTAAAGGATTTGGAAATGAAATTTGATTCGAACATGTTGGTATTGGGCCCGTATTTTGGTTCCGGTGCCCGGTACAGGTCATATATATGATTTAAGATTCTGTGAAGTTTGGTAAGAAACGGAATCCGTTTGACGTGATTTGGACCTTAAATGCAAAATTGATGTTTAAGGAAGTTTTGAGAAAATTTCATTGATCTTGAGGTTTAATTTGATGTTCATGATGTTATTTTGGTGATTTGAGTGCACGAATAAGTCCGTAGGATGTTTTTGAGGTTGGGGGTATATTTGGTTTGGAGCCCCGAGGGCTCAGGTGAGTTTTGGATAGGCCACGGGGTGCATTTCGGACTTAGAACATTGCAGATTTTCTCAGCTGGTGTATCAGGTTTGCAGGCTTCGCAAATGCGAAGCTTGGCTCGCAAATGCGACAAACCAATCGCAAATGCGAAAGAGTGGACTGGCAGCCTGAGTCGCAAATGCGACTTCATCATCGCAAATGCGACTTCGCATTTGCGAACAGCTTCTCACAAATGCGATGATGGCTGGGAGGCTGAGGTATCGCAAATGCGACACATGTTTCGCAAATGCGAAAGTCCCAAAATCCTGAAGGGTTCGCAAATGCGAACGCTGTTTCGCAATTCCCACATCAGCAGAGGTCGGGGTTCGCAATTGCGAACCCCTGTTCCCAATTCCCACATCTGAGACCTGCAACTTTTATACTTAGACGATTTTAAACCCATTTTCCACATTCTCTCAAAATAAAAACACACTTAGGCGACTTTTCAAGGATTTCTTCTTCTCCAAATCAGTTGTAAGTCATTTTTAACTAACTTCCTTCAATTTTTAACATCTTTTAAAATGATTTCAATTTCTAATCAATGATTTTCATGGGGGAAATTGGGTGTTTGGGTAGAACCTAGTTTTTTCAAAAATTGGGGATTTGGTGTAACGACCTGACCGGTCGTTTTTGGAATTTACGCCCCGATCCCCTATTAACTACTTTCCCCAAGTTCTTTCTGCTATATTGATTTGTCGGGATGTTCGGTTTCGAGTTTCGGAGAGTTTTGGGACACTTGGTCCCCAAATGAGAGCTTAAGTGTCGGAAAATCGACCGTAGTCGAAACAGTGTGAAGACGGCCTCGGAATGGAAATGCGATGGTTTCGTTAGCTTTGTTAGGTGATTTCGGGGTTGCGAGCATGTTCGAAATGTGTCTTGGAGGTCCGTAGCTAATTTAGGCTTGAAATGCCGAAGTTTGAATTTTTGAAGTTTCCGATCCGATAGTAAGATTTTGATCCGAGGGTCGGAATGGAATTCCGGAAGTTGCACTAGCTCCGTCATGTCATTTGGGATGTGTGCGCAAAATTTCAGGTCATTCGGACGCGGTTTGGTTAGGTTTTTGATCGAAATCGTATTTTGAGGAAAATTGGAGTTCTTAGGCTTAAATCCTTGATTTATTCGAGTTTCCGATGTTGTTTTAGGTGGTTTAAGGGTTGGTACAAGTTTGAATGAGATATTGGGTGTTGTTGGTGCTTTTGGTTGAGGTTTC